TTTTTTTGTAAATATTTTGACTGTCATTGTGTGTTGGCATCTTTGTTTGCCCTTTAATAAATGCGTCACGCCCGCAAGATTAGCACTTTAAAATTTCTCATAGAGAGAAAAAAAATGTTGTAGAGTGATTTAAATCAGCGAACTAAAAAAATCTCTAATTACTTTCTGCTTTTACTGTTATTTCTGTTAACAAGTTTTGCCGATGGACTTCCTATAAAAGTTGTAATCTCTCAGTCAGCCATATCAATTCATTCTGATATAGGAAGGCTACGTCACTTTCATCATTTCGGGAATGTTTTGAATCTAGCAATGTGTTCAGTTGATAATCCTAAAATTTCCCTTCGAGAGGGTAGATATAGCTAGATATATCGAAACCTGGTAGTAGAAATTTTAGGGTTTAGTAGAGCTTACGCAAACTGAACATTTTCCGCCTTTGAATTTATAACCACTTTTAAGTTGTTTGTTTGCATCATAACATACTCAGCACAAGTAGCCCTTACTGACCGGGGAAAAGAAATGCCAATTGCTAGGAGTAAAATTCAATTCAATTTCTGTATTCAAATAAACTGAAAAAGAAAATCGATCATAACTGATAAAATTGTTTCTTTAGAAAATTTGCCTGTGGAGTTGGTAGCGTACTTCTACTGTCACGCACTGAAGTGGAAACTTCCTGATCCATTTTAGAAAAGTAAATAACAAAGTTTTATAACAGACGAACTGACTTCTGGCAAAAAAACATCTATTTGGGCCGGTTAAAAAAAAACAGAGGTTAAACGGTGTTTTAACATAAATTGGCGCCTTAATTATTTTCAACTTCATGCCGATCATGATTAGTGATGTAAGCTCAGTAAATGTTTTCTGGTGCGCTAGTATTAATTCACTACAATAGATACGTTGTCCCGTATTGACGGGAGCAGCCATTTCTTTATCATCATTGGAGACAAGTAAAATGCTATCTGTTTGTGGGCAAAGAATAACTAATTGGGTATATATATGTCCGGCCAACTAGGCTTGACGCAGTTACAGCCCTCAACTCAAAACAAGCCACTTATTTTTTCTACTGTTATCTAAGCTACTCACTTTGTTTAAGTAACTGACCCCTCAAGTCCTCATGCAATTCCGTCTTAGCTGATATCACCAGTTCTAATCAAAACCCTCATACAGTGATAAACAGGCAGAATTACCTGAACAAAACACGTATCATCTTTGTAGCGAAATGACAAGCAGACTCTGAAGCAAAAGATATTAAGTATTCACTGCTTTATTACTCTTTCATCAATCAAAATTAGAACGACCAATAAGATCGACCAATCAGAAACAATGGATTAAAATCTACCAATCATTTATCACTGTTCTGTCAATCATTGTAGCGGTTCTTTTAGAAAATGAACCTCTTTAGACTCGCTTGTCTTGGTAAGACCTCAGGTAAGACCTTAAACCTACAGGTTTTACTTGACTGCTGCCAAAATTTTTCCTTCTTTCATTTGGTTTTATTATTTTAATACGTTATGAGAAGTAAGAAAACAATATGCTTAAATTTTCTTATGGATGAATTGGTTAAAGGCATAAAGCAAAGCGTACACACAGTGGTTTGCGGTGGTAAACATTTTTCTAAGAATAATTAGTGGCATCATCCGTCAATATAACCGCCATTCTTGGGAGTTCGTGATAAAAGCGCAGCTCAATGGCGCCAAAAGCCGTAGGCTATGGAACCTACGACACATAATTGTACTGAAGGATAATCGATTTCTCGCCGTAAAATAGACGATGGTATATTTTTAGCCCGCGCGCAGACACTTTAAACCTTGTTTGACTATCATACGCCACACTATATGCGATACGTGGGCCGGCTGTACCGCAGGCTATATATTTTACAACGTAACGATGCGAGTACAAGGTTTACGTCGTAAATTTTACGACGTGATACCTGACTGGGGAACTTGACCCCCTGGACGTGAAAAAGGGGTCAGAAAGTCAAAAATGTGCTCAAGGTGTTTTGAATAGAAATGAACGCCATAATATGAATATATTTCCTAAAGTGCTAACAGTTATCTATTAACCTTAGGTGTCGGTTTTAGGTGTAGGGCGTTCTGCGACACGTCAAAGGCAACTTAAGCGTTAAGTCCAATCAAAAGTCTTCAGTAAGTTTCAAGTTCACTTCTCAAAAGATCTCTCGCAACGTTGTTACAGTGGCTCCGACCGCATCGGTAATAACTATTTTCAAAGCTGAGGTTATAAGGCCGTTTTCACAGTCACGGTCGAGAGCACACAGAGTCTTCCTTCCGGAGATAAGGTAACGCCCAGGAAAAAAACAGTTTCCATTTCCTTGTCGAAGGACAAAGAAAAACAGGAAAATTTATTTAACAGCAAAACTGCGACATAACAAGAAAGTCGGATCACCAGGTTCACAGCCAAAAAATTGACTGAAAAATTATTTCAAAATAAAGTTTTATAACAGCAACAGTTTCATCAATGTCTCTGATGAACAAGTTATGGCCGTAACTTGAAGGGAAAAGGTTACCATGTCAACAGACTCATCACCCGTTGAAAACTGTGACCTTAGTTTAGCTGTTGGATTTGAAACTCAAAAACGGGTTTGGTTAACGGCCAGATTTAATTTATTTTTAAGTAGCCTGTTCATATCCATCATATCGCATTTTCCTGCTGGAGTTTTTTATTGTTTTTATAAATTAGACAAACTGTTGCACTATTCTGGACTATTCTCACTACATAATTAATTAGCTCCTCGCGGTAGTATAACTCGAGATCGTGCATGCTCGTAGCGGTTGTAATGCTTTGCGCCTCAAAACGTGAATTTGCGTTCTTTCAGTCTTCATCGCGATTATTCCTACCAATTTGCTTTGTCAAAGGTAGGCAAACTCTCCTGGAGCTGAATTCCTATGAACCATGTCCAAGTTCAGAATGGGAAATAAAATCGCTGCGTCGCTTGTTTACGTGCTTCATAGACCATTAAATTAGGCATTTTGCCATCGTGGTCGTACAAAAACGGCAAAGAAATATACAAAAAGGTGAGATGCACGTGCAAAGTTGTTGTTTTGCTTATTAAACCTATTGTTTTTTTTGTTTTTTGAAGTTCTCGTTGCCATCTTGTCGTCGGATCTTAAAGTCCCTAATGATCGATACTTCGAGACCATGGTCAATTTTCGCGACCCACCCACCTCCCCCAGGTGGCGGTTGACAACTTCAGTGCTATCCTTCTCTATTTTCGAATCCCGCATAATACACCCTGTTTGCCCCCAAAATTTTGCAAACAAAATTGTGCGAACAATGGACAACTTCTTTAATTTTCAATGGTCAAGAGATTCAGGGATTGGAAAGAACACTAATCACTTGCACCTCTGAAAACATTTAAAGGAAATCTATCGACGAATTTTGATTTTAGCGTTGTTCCGCACTGTAATTTACCCTGATGCATACACTTTCCTGTCTTTCGAAATCGCGTAAATCTACCTGCGTCTCGCGGTTTGAGAATGTACAAGGGACATTAGTTAAAAGAATGAGTGTCAAAAAATTTCCAGAAACATCCAGCAAGTACCAAATTTGCTTGCATAAAGTCCAGTTTTTAGTTTACGCATAACCTTCATGTAGAAATTCCACGATATCTCGAAATCCCTCCTACAGATTTTTGTTAAACTTTGCACAGCAAAAGCAAGCACCCGAAGTTTACGTAGCGTAGAGCATTTCCAGAGAAAATGCGCATAAGGGCTGCAAATCGATTGACAGCAAAAACAATTGTGACGTCATTGTCACCTGATATTCATTCCGATCGTGAAAAAAACTAAAATCATAATAAAGTTCAGTCAATGTGATTCATGTGTTACATGAATCATTACATTTACAATAAAGACCAAGCTATTTGCAAATAGGAAGTCCAAAGGTGAAAGCTATGCCTTCAAAAATACTGGGTCGAGCCACGGTTAAACAATTCCTACACTTAATTGGGAAACAAGAATGTCGCAGTGGTGAGAGCACTCGCCTCGCACCAATGTGGCCTTGGTTCAAACCCCGGTGTAAACGCCATGCCGGTTCAGTTTGTTGATGGTTCTCTCCTTTGTTCCGAGAGCTTTTTCCCTGGAATCTCTGTTTTAGCCCTGTCCTCAAAAACCAACATTTCCAAATTCCAGTTCTACCAGAAATCAGGAAGACGAAGAACCACTTTGTGGAAATGCTACCTCTAAATCGTTATTTATTTATTTAGATATTTCTGAGAGCAGAAAGACGTTTTTGAGCGACGCACGTCAACCGGAAGTGAGGCCTTCTCCCTTTTTATATGCCTTGACGCTAACAAACTTGTATTGCTGAGTTTCTTGTCTCTTTTAAAGACGATTTACCCGAAAGTTTCAACCAAACCGCTCCCCAATGATGCAAAAAAGTCCACTTCCGGTTGACGTCCGTCGCTCAAAAACGCTGTTGCTTAAGCTCCCTAATATTGATAGTCTACCGCCATTAAGGGTGAGTAATTGACAAAATTAAAAGAAATAGACAAGAAGAGCGTGACAAAGTCCCTACAACCAAAAATCTGTCTATATTTTTAATAAAAAAACTCTCATAACATCTAAAGCTATATACAACATTTTTTACTTAAAGTTAGCTATTTTCACCCAGCATTCCACTTCGCGTTGTCGCGTCCCCCTCAAATAATCCCATAAATGAGCGCGCGCCTAGTTTGGTTCCCAGGCTATCACTCTTTTTGGAAGTGAGCTATTCTCAGCTTGCCCCTTACCCATAATACATCTTGGTTGCACCACCGACCAAACAAATTGCGTAACCTTAGTTAATTATATTTTCCCCAAGTATTACAGACGAAACAAGAGAAATTGAAGGCAATATAATGCAAAATGTTGGTGGGGGAGCAAGTAATGTGAATTATGGGAAATGCGTAAGTTTTTTGTGGTTTTATAGCCCTTTGACCTTACATTTACTTTTAACATGAATACTGTCAACTTTTCTTTAAGGTCTTAAATTTCTTGATCTTGAAATCATGCTCTTTTGAAGGCATCAACCATCTGCTGCAAAGCGTCGAGAATTTCTTCTGTTGTCGGTTCGCCATCAAAGCATCTTTCTTTTAAACCAATTTGCTCGATCGCAGGAACATCATTTACTTTGAAACCTCCCTTTTTCAGGAAAAACCCCTGAAGGTCACAAACCTGGAAGTATTTCCCTTTTAGCATGTAATCTCTGATCTTGACCAGATCACGAGCGGTGCTTTTCAGGTCGCCAGTCGTGTACGTAATCACCTCAGCAATCAGCTGACCCACCTTGTTTGCAACAATACTATCTCGAATGTGCTGGAATTCGCCAATATCACGCGACACCCATTTCTCCAGAAAACCACTGCATTCGAAGCTCTTCTCCTCGCCACATTTTACACCTGTAATGATGCGCTTGTTCGGATTTGGAGAAAGATCTACTGTATTGATGCCTGCTTGCATGATTGTGACAAGATTTCTGACTTCGTTTTCAATTACTTCTAGGCAAGGTGCGACTCCGTCAGGTTTCATCTTTTTACAAACCAAAAAACCAATTGAAGTTATTCCGTTGATGCGGCAAGCAAGTTTTTCCTCACCTCCTCCCGCTATTTCTTTGCAGAAACTGTTGTAATTGATGTTGGGTTTTGCCTTTTCAATCTTGTTATAAGCATTAGTGAAATCATCTGCATATGCCACTGACGAGAACACAGCCAAAGTCGTGGCCACCAAGGCAAAACAAACTTTGTACATTTCCATAGCTGCGAAAGGAAATGAAGTGGGGTATGACCAAAACTGAATATTTTCCCGGGGGGGGGGGNTGGAATGGTTTTCAATAGATCTGCGGGGCTGTTTGAACCTTTTTTCATTTCAATTCCAAATGAATAAGAAAGAGAAATATGCAAATTCGAAATGGCCAAGGAAGAAAATTCAATGTTTTTGATTGGCTAGATTGTGAGTGAACGAGGTGAGTGTTGTCATCTGCTCGCGCTCTGGCGTGTGCAATTCATTCTTTGCAAAGTCTTTAATTATGTTCAAATAATTATTTTCACTAAAGAAGTAGTTCTACGTCTCAATATAACTTGTAAAACTATTTTTACCTTATCTTTTAATACTTTTTAAAACTCTCTCTCTCGGGGTCAATAAAGACTTTTGAAGAGGGCTAAAAAAAATTCTCGCGCAGAAGTTGGTGCGTACTGCTTTGAGGTTTTAGCGCGCGCTATGAAAATGAAATTCAAATTAATTGTCGCATTGAATTTGATCAAAGCATATAACCCCTGATTTGATTTTAAAAAGAGCAAAAACAACAACAAATTAGTTGGTTCATAAACCAAGTTTTGCTAGAAAAGACTTCACGGCTCTATCAAATTCGTTGTTTAACACGTCGAAAATGGAAGATTTATTTCGAGCATGCGCTCTCTCATCGTCTGTCTGACATTCCTGAGAGGTAATCACGTGTACAAATCGGATTTGACCAGGCCCTTGTTGTTCAAACGTTGGATAACGCTAGCCTCGTTCCCAGTCGTCCTTTGATTTCGGATTTGACGTCACCTGTCAAGCTTGTCGGGAAAATTCGCCCTATCGTACTCGGTTCCAAGCCTCCTCTGGTAACTCGGGTAGCGCGAACTAGCCTGGGTACGAGGCTGGATAAATCTTTATCCCGCAGCTGATAACACAATTGGTCTCCCTTATACTTATCCGGTGGATAGTAATTTATCCAGTAGATAGCACTGCCCAACGTTTGAACAACCGTGCCCATATCTCGCCTTCGGCTTCGTCAATAAGAGATCTGAGTACGAGATAAAAAGTGACGACATTAAATCCCCTGAAGAGGGACGTCTTGTCTGTCCGAAATATCGGCAAACCTCAAGTCGCTTTCCTCTTTGCTGTTTTATTATCCGATGTCCATATTTGAGTTATTTCTGTCCTTGATTGTAGTTTTAAATTTTTATAGTTGATGCAGATAGCACGAGTCACTTATGTTTACTATAGAATCGAATATGAACTTGACCTATCACAGCGTGATGCGATCCTGTTACAAACCTGGTAAAATATTTTCCAATGCTCGGTGGAACCGCAGACATAAGGGACTGAAGGCACCAAGATCGGCTCATAGTTTCCACCCCTGCATTTTATTTTTACTCAGCACTTTGTCCTTGCTCTGAAAGTTTCGCTTTCCGAATGCCTCGCCCGAAGGGCGATAATGGTTGTTTACGATTTACATTAAGTTTCCGGAAAATACGGTTGGAAAGTAAATGAAACACTACTTTTTGGGTCGTTCCAGCGGAAAATTTCCGGGAGCAACGTAACATCTGAAAAGGTAGTCCTGTTTTTCCGGACGGGATAATCCAAACCGAAATTAGTGTTCAAATTTTCTTCAATGACTTCTTTGATACCAGTTTCAGGCTGCCTCGTACCCAGACGTCTCTCTTTCCATGAAAATGTGCGCCCAAAGGAAGGTGGGAAGGAGACAACGTCTGTACCCTTCCCATGGTCCCTTACGGTGCATCACCAGTCACTCGCGTTTCGCGCTCGCCTCTACGATGCGAAAAACGAAGCACCTGAGGAGAAGGCTGAGTTTCAGGTCTTCGCAGTCTATTTTCGGTTAATGGAAGTGATTTGTAAAAATGGTAGACGTGATAACGGGAAGAAATTTAAATTTATTAGCCCAGAATTTTGCGTGCCATTTGCCCAAACCGTGGATCAACCGGTTTGCCGATGTAAATTGTAAACAACCAATATTTTACCAGGTCGCATGACGGTTGATCAGTCAAGTTCATATTCGACTCTACAGTAAACAGAGGCAAATCACACTATCTGTATGAACCGTAAAACTTTAAAACTACATTCACTGCAATCTGCGCCCTGTGAATGCTGATGTAGAAACAAAAACGCTTTCCCTTTTTTTCTGTTTGGTACCAATTTATGGCAGTTTATCTTAATGTTGAAAACTCCAATTGCAGATATGCTTGGAATCCATAAACAGGAAAATTTATTACCGCATACACAATATCTCATCACTGCTGATCACTGTAGTTTCCCGGCGGTGTTACAGAGCTTATCGTTGATTATCAGTAAAGTATATGTGAGTTTAACGTCCCTATACGTTCTTTTCCAAGCCCTTTGTTGGTCGTGCCGAGCCAAAATAAAGTCTCCAAACCTCGCCTGCTCAGTTCTATTCTTGCCCTCTCCGCGCTTATATTGACTGACTAAATGCGTGAGAGCCTTTGTAGAACACGCAAAAATGAATTTGCTCTCTGGTACAGAAATTTAGAGTTAGCCGTATACCACTATGAGTAGTATTTTTAAAGCTTTTAAACAAAATATGTAAGAATTTTGTCTGTACAGAACAGAGGTGTCCTCATGGAGAGGCTTAAAGGCAGTCTCACCAGTTTAAGTTTTCAAACACTTGAAGTATGTTTAGTAAACTTTCAAACGTTTAGTAAACCATCATACTATACTGTTTAACTTTGAACAGTGAAAGTACATATAACGGCTAAAAAAGCTTTAAAGCACTTTGCTTTCTCTTGGTTGACCGCAGTAAGTGCGAAGCTCATCGTGTATACAAGAAAACACGTTTCCTCAATTACTAACGAATTATAAANAATCCATAAACAGGAAAATTTATTACCGCATACACAATATCTCATCACTGCTGATCACTGTAGTTTCCCGGCGGTGTTACAGAGCTTATCGTTGATTATCAGTAAAGTATATGTGAGTTTAACGTCCCTATACGTTCTTTTCCAAGCCCTTTGTTGGTCGTGCCGAGCCAAAATAAAGTCTCCAAACCTCGCCTGCTCAGTTCTATTCTTGCCCTCTCCGCGCTTATATTGACTGACTAAATGCGTGAGAGCCTTTGTAGAACACGCAAAAATGAATTTGCTCTCTGGTACAGAAATTTAGAGTTAGCCGTATACCACTATGAGTAGTATTTTTAAAGCTTTTAAACAAAATATGTAAGAATTTTGTCTGTACAGAACAGAGGTGTCCTCATGGAGAGGCTTAAAGGCAGTCTCACCAGTTTAAGTTTTCAAACACTTGAAGTATGTTTAGTAAACTTTCAAACGTTTAGTAAACCATCATACTATACTGTTTAACTTTGAACAGTGAAAGTACATATAACGGCTAAAAAAGCTTTAAAGCACTTTGCTTTCTCTTGGTTGACCGCAGTAAGTGCGAAGCTCATCGTGTATACAAGAAAACACGTTTCCTCAATTACTAACGAATTATAAATATTTACCTTGAGGCGTTCATCAACGTGACAAACTCACCAGATCAAGCGTCAAATCAAGAGACTTCAGGAAGCTTCAAGCTCATCCAATGAAAATATATCTCGTACCGTTGTTGCACAACACTCGCAACGTTTTTCAAGTGCTGAAGTTGGAAGTTCCTGTTTTTACTAAAAAGAAAGTCTCAGAAAAGTCACGATTAAGATATTCCGACTTTTGGTCGAGGTGTCGATCGCGAGTATCGCGAGTATCGCGTGGGCCGCGCGTGGTCTTAGCGGCTAATCTTAGCGACATGCAGTAACATCTGCGCATGCGTCAAGCTACTTGTTGACGGGATATTTGTAATGGCGAAGAGTTGACCTGAAGCACTTTTAAGGGAGATTTTTTTTGCATACCTACTCAACAGTTCGTAAGTCCAATCCACAGAAATGACCTTTACTCGCCAACGAGTCCTTAGTAGCTCAATGATTAGAGCATCCGATCTAGAACACGGACGGTCGTGTGTGTTCGAATCTAATCTGGGGCTCAGATTTTTTCTGTGCCCTCTTATGGTTGATTCTTGACATCTCGCTTTATTTCCTTTAAAAGAAAATGAGGTATATAAATCCTATATGGCTACGATTCTCGACTTGCGCCATGCCATTAATCCTCGAGAATAAAAGTGGAGGCAAAACAAATCAGATTCTAGTAACTATCAACAGTGGAAGTGGATACCACCTATACAAGGAGCCATTTGCTAAAATCAGGAGTTGCACTCATTTACATTGACTGGAAAACACAAACTTAAAGGCAAGATAAATTCAATGAGCTCAGCCGCAGAACACACATTTGAAAAAAAAGGGACATATGAGAGTATGGCAGGTTATGAAACCCCTGGTACGTACTGCCATCTGACAGTCTTTTTGTACGAGAGGAATTTTTAAAGAATTCAAATAACTATTTTGTCACCAGGAATGATTAATCACCGCCGGAAATTAGCACCAAATTCCATAGCGAAATCGTGTTTTATGGTTTCGTTTGGCCTTTCAATCATGGACTAATCTATCTAAATCCCAGGCTTCTAAATCAAATTTTCGAAAATTTGAGGAAATTTCCCGAAATTAAGACAAGTTATCACTAAACACAACAACTTTATTGACTTTATCTTCGACATGAAGATTTCGGTACCAGAACAGTCAATACAATGACAAATGAAACAAAGTAAAGTAAAAGTTAAGAAAGAAAGTAACAACAACTATACATTGAATATTATCATAAAAGAAAAATTTCTTGGCTATGTACGACTTCTACACTACTCATATGGTAAGAAAGTTTAATTAGAGTTCGGATTTACAACAACTTAGAATATTTTCAATGTGAGAGGCACTAAGATTTATGATGTTTTCATCGCACATAGACATGATATATAAAAATAGTGCCTTGCAAGACATATTCGTAAAATTACTTTTTATCGAGTATAGGCTCTCCAAGAAGATACCCCTTATATGAGAGAGTGATGAGTGAGTACATTTCAACAAATAGTGGAATTCATCACCAATTTCTGATCTATTACTAAGGGGGCAAAGCCTCTCAACTCTGGGTATCTTCTTGTAGCGCCAAGATTTAATAGGTAGCAAGTGGCAAGTAAAGCCCGGGGGGGACTCCGCATATGAAAAGGGTGGGGATGCTCGTCGAAAATTTTGAATTAAACCCCTAAAGGAGACCGATCTGGGCGTGGCCCAGGCTTTTTTTTGATCCCTAAAAGAGACCATGTTTAAACACAGACAAATGAGAAAAACTGGATTATATGGAGTAAATAAAACATATTAAAATATACATATCAAATCATATATTTTGATATTTTTTCGCGTGTAACCCTAAACGAGACCTTCACGGCTAAATATGATGGCGTTTTGCCCAGAACACCCTAAATGAGACCAAAATCCGAGATTTACCCCGTAAGCGAGACGAGGAGCATCCCCACCACTTTCATATGCGGAGTACCCCCCCCCCCCCNTAGAGTTCGGATTTACAACAACTTAGAATATTTTCAATGTGAGAGGCACTAAGATTTATGATGTTTTCATCGCACATAGACATGATATATAAAAATAGTGCCTTGCAAGACATATTCGTAAAATTACTTTTTATCGAGTATAGGCTCTCCAAGAAGATACCCCTTATATGAGAGAGTGATGAGTGAGTACATTTCAACAAATAGTGGAATTCATCACCAATTTCTGATCTATTACTAAGGGGGCAAAGCCTCTCAACTCTGGGTATCTTCTTGTAGCGCCAAGATTTAATAGGTAGCAAGTGGCAAGTAAAGCCCGGGGGGGACTCCGCATATGAAAAGGGTGGGGATGCTCGTCGAAAATTTTGAATTAAACCCCTAAAGGAGACCGATCTGGGCGTGGCCCAGGCTTTTTTTTGATCCCTAAAAGAGACCATGTTTAAACACAGACAAATGAGAAAAACTGGATTATATGGAGTAAATAAAACATATTAAAATATACATATCAAATCATATATTTTGATATTTTTTCGCGTGTAACCCTAAACGAGACCTTCACGGCTAAATATGATGGCGTTTTGCCCAGAACACCCTAAATGAGACCAAAATCCGAGATTTACCCCGTAAGCGAGACGAGGAGCATCCCCACCACTTTCATATGCGGAGTACCCCCCCCCCCCGGGAAGTAAAGTAAATCTTCTCAGCTTTCTGTTCATGCTGTGTCTACTTCACAAGTTCCTTTATGTTAAAACATAACTAGCAACAATTACTGTAACAAAGTGGCTGCCAAAAAGAAGATACGCGTTAAAATTGAGGCCTGAACGGCTAATACTTCCATTGCTTGGAGCTAAGCTGGGACTGAACTCGGAGATCATTTCATTCAGAGCGTCGAGAACTTTCTGTGTGGTAGGTTCGCCGGGCCAGCAGGGGTCACTGATAGATACATTTTCTATAGCAGGAACATCAGCTACTAGAAAACCTCCTTTTATCAGGAAAAAACCCTGAAGATCGCAGATCTGGCGGTATTTATTCTTATTCGGGTCGATCATCATATAATTCTTGATTTTTTTTAGGTCTGCAGCTGTGGCTGACAACCCGGTTGTAGTAGTAAAATTTTTCACATCATTAATTAAGTTTGCGACTGTGTTATTGTCAATGTGATCTCTAACCTGCTTGAATCGTCCAGTCTCGGATGTTATCCATTCCTCCAGAAAGCCGCTGCAGGTTAAACTCTGATCTTCACCGCACTTCACACCATCTATAGGGGGTGTAGAAATCGTCACCGTTTTGATGTTGGCCGAACTGACTGTTTTAATGTTTTCGACCTCAGTTTTGATAACTACGCTGCAATTCACTTCTTCAACTTTAGGCGTTTTGCAAACCAAAAAACCAATTGTTGGAACATCTTTGATGCGGCAAGCAACTTTGTCCTCTCCAGATTTCTTTTCCAGACAGAAGGTGTCGTAACTGATGTTCGGTTTTGCCTGATTGATCTTCTGACGAGCAGTAGCGAAGTCATCTGCATAAACTATCATTGAAACTTGCAGGGCTAACAAGCTGAAGTAAATCTTGAATAATTCCATTGCTGAAATTCGAAAAAAAAAATGCACTTCATATTAAACGTTTATAGTGCTCGATATTTGTTTACCAGCTGAAGCTACCGACTGCATATCAATCAATAAAAATGTGAAAAGTTAATTTTCATTAGTATTTTCAAGAAATCTCTTGGTTTCTCGCATCTCGAGATGGGAATAGCCTGTTATGGGTGTTCAGATAGTGAGGCACAGGTAGTCATTCCACTTTGTATGTTTAGTGCAGACTACTAACCTGCGAAATCAGTCGTCCGACCTCGCTCCTCGCCTCCTGACAAAACGTCCCTGAGGCGAGAAGCGTGGAGAGACTAGCTTGCGTGGCAGGCGTTAAAAGGGGAAGGGAAAGGGGAAATTTGGGCGCGCGAGAGCGCGTGGGGCTCCTCCCTCGCGCGTGGTCTCGGGCCCTAATTCCCTTCCCCTTCCCTTTCGAACGCCTGTCACGCAGGCTAAAGAGACACGGGCTGTTCTCGCAGGTAACAGCCTACCTGGTAGAGATCTTTCTCCTAGAAAGCTAGACTGATTGCAGATAAAAATCCGTCAGGTTCTTATCCCAGCGGGTGCGTTACTAAAAAACCATGCAGCCTATCTAAAAAGGCATCGTCCCTCGTGTACATGCTTTACGCCTGCTTTCCCAAANGACTAGCTTGCGTGGCAGGCGTTAAAAGGGGAAGGGAAAGGGGAAATTTGGGCGCGCGAGAGCGCGTGGGGCTCCTCCCTCGCGCGTGGTCTCGGGCCCTAATTCCCTTCCCCTTCCCTTTCGAACGCCTGTCACGCAGGCTAAAGAGACACGGGCTGTTCTCGCAGGTAACAGCCTACCTGGTAGAGATCTTTCTCCTAGAAAGCTAGACTGATTGCAGATAAAAATCCGTCAGGTTCTTATCCCAGCGGGTGCGTTACTAAAAAACCATGCAGCCTATCTAAAAAGGCATCGTCCCTCGTGTACATGCTTTACGCCTGCTTTCCCAAAACAAGAGTGCTTGCTGTTATAAGATCATTCAATGAAACTAAATTCAACAACTAGTAAAGACTATTCTAACATGTTCGTTCCCAGCAAGTCAAAAACGGTTAGTAGTTGATGTATGACCCCATGAAATGTCCTGAGACACCGGTGCCATGTCGGGCCTCTAGGCACAGCTAGAAGTAAGTGTAGTGAAGTGTAGTAACTGTGGTAAGTATAGTAACTGTAGCAAGTGTAGTAAGTATAGTATCTGTAGTAGCTGTAGTATCTGTAGTAAGTGTAGTAAGTGTAGTAGGTGCAGTAAGTGTAGTAAGTGTAGTAAGTGTAGTAGCTGTAGTAAGTGTAGTAGCTGTAGTAAGTGTAGTAAGTGTAGTAAGTGTAGTATCTGTAGTAAGTGTAGTAAGTGTAGTAGTTGTAGAAGCTGTAGTATCTGTAGTAAGTGTAGTAGCTGTAGTATCTGTAGTAAGTGTAGTAAGTGTAGTAAGTGTAGTAAGTGTAGTAAGTGTAGTAGCTGTAGTAAGTGTAGTAAGTGTAGTAGTTGTAGTAGCTGTAGTATCTGTAGTAAGTGTAGTAGCTGTAGTATCTGTAGTAAGTGTAGTAGGTGTAGTAGGTGTAGTAAGTGTAGTAGCTGTAGTAAAAGTAGTAGCTGTAGTAAGTGTAGAAGTTGTAGTATCTGTAGTAAGTGTAGTAGCTGTAGTAAGTGTAGTAAGTGTAGTAAGTGTAGTAGTTGTAGTAAGTGCAGTCGGGGTGCGCATGTAAGTCAGTCAGGAGCCCCTAAGGGGGATCCCCACAGGTTTCAATGTTACAACACTTGCTATTTACATGAAGGCTTGCCCAAACGTTAAGATCCTTTATCTTAACACCCGACACAATTTATACTACGTTTCCACCGTAGTCAAACGTCTGAGAGATTTTTGGGTGGACGCAAAGCCTTAAGTAGAAACAGGGGAAGCCAACGAACATTCACTTTCACTCTCTCAGTTACAAACGGCGCCGACATGTTTCACCAGTTTCACATTCAAACACCTGAAACGTTTTTAGCAAACTATTAAAAATTGTAGTAAACTAACTTGGCCATGGCTCATGACTATATGCGGAAAGTAACACTGAACCTAAGCTTTGACGTACTTTGCTTAACTTCTACAAATTTGTCTCGTTTTACCGTTTTGAATACGGACGTGCCTTCGTCTGCAAACCCGAATATATTTTCTCAAGTACTAACAGTTATCTATTTACCTTAAGTGTCGGTTGTAGGTGTAAAGCGTTCTGCGACACGTCAAATGCAACTTAAGCGTTAAGTCCAATCAAAAGTCTTCAGTAAGTTTCAAGTTCACTCCTCAAAAGATCTCTCGCGACGTTGTTACAGTGTGTCTGTGCGCATGTTACTCCGGGACGTGACTATTTTCAAAGCTGAGGTTATAAGACCGTTTTCACAGTCACGGTCGAGAGCACACAGAGACTTCCTTCCGGAGATATGGTAATGCCCAGGAAAAAAACACAGTTTCCATTTCCTTGTTGAAGGACAAAGAAAAACAGGAAAATTTATTTAACAGCAAAACTGTGACATAACAAGAAAGTCGGATCACCAGGTTCACAGCCAAAAAATTTACTGAAAAATTATTTCAAAACAAAGTTTTATAACAGCAACAGTTTCATTAATGTCTCCGATGAACAAGTTATGGCCATAACTTGAAGTAAAAAGGTTACCATCTCAACAGACTCATCACCCGTTGAAAACTGTGATCTTAGTTTAGCTGTTGGATTTGAAACTCAAAAACGGGTTTGGTTAACGGCCAGATTTAATTTATTTTTAAGTAGCATGTTCATATCCAACTTTTCGCAAAGTTAAAAGAAAACAAATTGGGGGCCTGGTGATTAAACTGATTTCCAATTTGCGGTTAATTTAGGGTGGACTCATTTGCAACATATGCGTAAACTGTAGCTGTCGCATTTGCCTGCTGGAGTTTTTTATTGTTTTTATAAATTAGACAAACTGTTGCACTATTCTGGACTATTCTCACTACATAATTAATTTGCTCCTCGCGGTACTGATAACTCGAGATCGTGCATGCTCGTAGCGGTTGTAATGCTTTGCGCCTCTTAAATTTGGCCGCTTTGCCTCCTAAAACGTGTTCATTAAGATCCGTGGACGCGACTCGAGCGAAAATGTCGATCAAAACGTGACTTTGCGTTCTTTCAGTCTTCATCGCAATTATTCCTACCAACTTGCTTTGTCAAAGGTTGGCGAACTCTCCTGGAGCTGAATTCCCATGAACCATGTCCAAGTTCAGAATGGGAAATGAAATCGCTGCGTCGCTGACGTGCTCCATAGACCATTAAATTAGGCATTTTGTCGTCGTGGTCGTACAAAAAACGGCAAAGAAATATACAAAAAGGTGAGATGCACATGCAAAGTTGTTGTTTTGCTTATTAAACCTATTTTTTTTTTTGTTTTTTGACGTTCTCGTTGCCATTTTGTCGTCGGATCTTAAAGTCCCTAATGATCGGTACTTCGAGACCATGGTCAATTTTCGCGACCCACCCACATCCCCCGGGTGGCGGTTGACAATTAACTTCAGTGCTATCCTCCTCTATTTTCGAATCCCCCATAATACACTCTGTTTGCCCCCGAAATTTTGCAAACAAAATTGTGCGAACAATGGACAACTTTTTTTAATTTTTAATGGTCAAGAGATTCAGGGATTGTAAAGAACACTAATCACTTGCACCTCTGAAAACATTTAAAGGAAATCTATCGACGAATTTTGATATTAGCGTTGTTCCGCACTGTAATTTACCCTGATGCATACACTTTCCTGTCTTTCGAAATCGCGTAAATCTACCTGCCTCTCGCGGTTCGGAGAATGTACAAGGGACATTAGTTAAAAGAATGAGAGTCAAAAACTTTCCAGAAACATTCAGCAGGTACCAAATTTGCTTGCATAAAGTCCAGTTTTCAGTTTACGCATAACCTTCATGTAGAAATTCCACGATGTCTCGAAATCCCTCTTACCGATTTTTGTTGACCTTTGCACAGCAGAAGGCAAGCACCCAAAGTTTACGTAGCGTAGAGCATTTCCATAGAAAATGCGCATAAGGGCTGCAATTCGATTGAGAGCAAAAACAATTGTGACGTCATTGTCACCTGATATTCATTCCGATCGTGAAAAAAACTAAAATCATAATAAAGTTCAGTAAATGTGATTCATGTGTTACATGAATCATTACATTTACAATAAAGACCAAGCTATTTGCATATAGGAAGTCCAAAGGTGAAAGCTATGCCTTTAAAAATACTGGGTCCAGCCACCGTAAGTATCCTACTGTTAAACAGTTCCTACACTTAATTGGGAAACAAGGATGTCGCAGTGGTGAGAGCACTCGCCTCGCACCAATGTGGCCTTGGTTCAAACCCCGGCATAAATGCCATGCGGGTTCGGTTTGTTGATGGTTCTCTCCTTTGCTCCGAGAGCTTTTCCCCCGGAATCTCTGTTTTAGCCCTGTCCTCAAAAACCAACATTTCCAAATTCCAGTTCTACCAGGAATCAGGTAGACGAAGAACCACTTTGTGGAAATGCTACCTCTAAATCGTTATTTATTTATTTATTTATTTATTTAGATATTTGTAGGAGCAGCAAATATTGATAGTCTTCCGCGAGTAAGGGTGAGCAATTGACAATGGACAAGAAGACCGTGACAAAGTCCCTACAACTTAAAATCCGTCTATATTTTTAATAAAGAAACTCTCATAACATCTAAAGCTATATACAACATTTTTTACTTAAAGTTAGTCTGTATGTCAAAGGACTTGTATGTGGGCTTTATAGATGGAAACTAAATTAGACCAAAGACTGTTCACACTAATCTGCTTCCCAAGGCCCGGTTGCGCCGCGAAGCAACTTTAAATTAGGTGAGAGTTTTTACAGCCTTTTCGTGTGTTTCGAGTGATTTTCTCAAGCTCTCTTCGTTCTACCAGTGTTAATCCATCTTCAGCCGTGTTATCGGTGATACCGCACAAGAAAGTCAGCTTGGC